AAGGAAGGGGGGGTTTACGACTACACAATTAGACAACATCAATCTTTGCTGCTGCAGCAGCAGCACCAGCAGCAGCTGCTGCAGCAACAACAGCAGCTGTTGGTGTTGCTGCTGCTGTTGCTGTTGCTGCTGCTGCATTTCCTGCCCTCTGTATAGGGGGCATGTCTGCCCTTGTTTGTTTCTTTGTTCTTTCTTTATCTATATATTTATCTATCTATTTATATATTTATCTATATATTTATCTATATATATATATATATATTTATTTATTTATTTATTTATTTATTTTCTTCTTTTGTGTCATCAACAAGGGCAGCGGGAGACTTTGACGAATTTGTTTATTAAATGTCAATTATAACAACAAATAAATAATTGAGGGTATTAATTACAATTATTTATTTATTTATTTATTTATTTATTTATTTATTTATTTATTTATTCATTTATTTAATAATATTATTAGTAATAATACTAGTAGTAATAATAATATTATTAGTAATAATACTAACAGTACTACTACTACTAATAATAATAGTACAAATAAATAATAATTATAATAATAAATAATAATAAATAAATAAATAAATAAATAAATAAATAATATTAATAGTTATAAATGTCTGTACAAAGAGGGAATAAAGAAGAAAACCCTCATTAATAATAAATAGCATAAAAAAAAAAAGAAACATTTTTATTTGCTGCTGCCTACTGCAGCAAAGAAATAAAAGAATAAAAGAAATGATGATTAATTATTTTATTTTATTTATTTATTTATTTATTTATTTTTGCTTTTTAGCTGCCTATACACGCTAGAGTGTATATATAAAGCTGTTTATGCTGCTGCGCAGCAGCAACAGCAGCAGCAACAGCAGCAGCAAAGCAGCAGCAAAGGAAAAAAAAGTAGATAAAAGGCACATCATAAGAAGGGAAATAAAGAATAATATATAAATAAAATAAAATAAATAGTATTAATTAATTAATAAAGGAATAAAATCATAAAAAATACCTAAATATATAACTAAATAATAAGGCAATTATAGGGAGTACGTACACCCACCACGGTGTATTCGCACTCTCTAGTTGTAATTTTTGTGTCCTTACGAAGTCTATAAGAGTCCTCCAATACTCTGCTTCCTGCTGCTGCTGCTGCTGCAGTTGCTGCTGCTGCTGCAGTTGTTGCTGCGAGGTGTTGCTACCTGCTGCTGTATCTGCTGCTGCTGCTGCTGTTACTGCTGCAGCAGGGGAACCAAAGACAGATAGACCCTGCAGCACTTGCCATCTTCCTTCCTGACCAAAAAGGAATTCAATGCGTACTCTTTCGTTGCTGCTTTCTTCTTCATCTCCTGCTGCTGCTGCTGCTGCAGCAGGAGCAGCAGCAAGCTCTGCTAGTACCACAGGAGCACCATGAGCTTGCTGCTGTTGCTGCAGCAACATCGGGTCCCCCTGCAGTGTCAGTAGCTGCCTTTGCTGCAGCGGTGCCACAGACACCGCAGCAGCAGCAGCTGCTGCTGCTGCTGCAGGAGAAGCATCTGCTGTTTCCCATATATCCTCTAATGAGCTGCCTATACACCCCAATGCCCCTCTTACCCAATCAGCAACAAGGGCCTCTATTGCTGCTCTTAATGTTTGTGTCTTATGATTAATAGATACACCTAAAAGAATTGTGCTGCAGCGAACTGCAGCAAATGCAGCACTTGCTGCATCCTGCTGCAGCAGCAGTGTTCCTTCCCCTGCAGCAGCAGCAGCAGCTGCAGCATCTGCAGCAGCAGCAGCAACAGCAACAGATCCATCTTCCTCAAAACGCAGACACAAAGAAGGGACACCTTCAGACATAATTTCTATCTGCAGCGCTTGCATGCAGCCTGCTGCTGCTGCTGCTGTTCCTGCTGCTTCTGCAGCAGCAGCAGCAGCAGCAGCAACAGTCATTCCTTGGTCACAGATGAGGCCCCTCCCCTTACAAGAAGAATCTAATGGGTCCTCTATATGACGAAGGGAGCAATAAAAGGGGAGGGGGGCCCCCTCTATTATATCTGCTGCTGTACCTTCTGTACCCACTAAGGAACGGAGGGCCCCCCTAAGGGCCCCCCGCAGCTCAGGTGCAGCAAACACTTCTGCTGCTGTTTGCTGCTTTAGTAGAGACGGAGGCAGCAGCAGCGTCATGTTCAGGCTTATAGGACTGCAGCACACCTGCAACTGCTGCTGCTGCTGCTGTTGCTGCTGCTGCTGTTGGGTACCCTTTTGCTGCTGTAGAGGATACACCTCTGCTGCTACAAGAGACGAGGGCCCCGTGCTGCCGCTTAGGCAGGAGAAGTATACGGAGGTGTCTTGCTGCTGCTGCTGCTGCTGTTGCTGCTGCTGCAGCAGCACAAGCAGGAATGGCTGCTTCAGTGCATTTTTGCTGCTGCTGCTGCTGCTCTTTCCACCATCGTTCTGCTGCTGCTGCATCGCAGCAGCAGCAGCAGCCTCATCAACAGCATTTAAACCCTGAAGGGCCCCCTCCGCTACAGCAGCAGCAACACGGCGCAGCTGCAGCTTCTCCTGCAGCTTCTGCTGCTGCTGCTGCAGTTGCTGCTGCTGCTGCTGCCCTGCAGCAGCACCTACACGAGCCCATACACCTAAGACCGAGAGGCCCCCCACAAGATGATGAGAGCAGCAAAGGGAGGCCTGTCTAATAAGTCTCTCTACTATCTCCTGCTGCTGCTGCTGCTGCTGCTGCTGCTGCTGCAGCTGCTGCAGGAAGGTAAACACATCTTCTCCTTCCTCCAGCTGCGGATCTGAAGAAAGAGAGGCAAGGGGGGCCCATAGCAACGCATGCAGGGGGGCCCCTGCATTCTTTCCTTTAGGGCCCCCCCCTGAGGGTTTGCTGCTGCTGCTGCTGCTGGGATCGATCGATCCCAGCAGCAAACCTAAAGGAGGAGAAGAGGGAGATGGCAAGGAGGCCCTTGTTGTTATTAAGCGAGAGACGCTATCAGACATCTTGCCGTAAACCCTAAACCCTAAACCCTAAACCCTAGATAGTAAACCCTAAAATGAGATGCATGCTCCAGGTGCGACGGGGGTCGCCCCATTAAGGGAGAGACTAATGTCTCCCCAATAAAAGAAATAGGTCTTGCTGCTGCTGCTGCTGCTCCTGCTGCTGCTGCTGCTGCTGCTCCTGCTGTTGGGGTGAATAAGTAGGGCCGTGCCCCCCAGGGAGTAAAGACAGAGCTGGGGTCGTCTATGCAGTGTCCTAGAATTAGGGTTTAGGGTTTAGGGTTTAGGGTTTAGATGCAAAACTTTCTCTTCACTGCCGCAGCAAATCAGCAGCACGGCACAGCCGTACTCAGATTAGGGTTTAGGTAGGGTTTAGGGTTTAAGATAAACAACTCTTTTAATGGGGGAGGAAGAAGACAATAAAAGAGACTGAAAACCCTTTATTAGGGTTTATGGCTAAAGTTTATTCTATGAAGGCTAGGGTTTAGGGTTTAGGGAGCAGCAGCGTTGTACCTGCAACAGCAGCGGCGGCTGCAGCCGCCACCGTTGCTGCTGCTGCGTCTGTTATGGTTTCTGAAATGGATTAGGGTTTAGGGTTTAGGGTTTCAGAATACAGCTTGCTTCCTCTTCAGAGTCGTGCCCTAAACGGCCCCTCTGCTCTCGTTCGCTGCTGCCGCTGCTGTTGTTGCTGCTGCTGCTGCTGCGGGAGGTTCTTTGTCGTTTCTGCTGGTATAACTACTGCAGCAAGAGCACCCCAAGAAGATGTTTTTCGTCAATTGGTGAATCATACACCCTAAACCCTAAACCCTAAACCCTCGTAGTGCTGCGGAGGGTGGCGGGAGCGCGACACCCATCATTGGGGGTTTGGGCTGCTGTCGGTGTGCAGGAATTAGGATTTAGGGTTTAGGGTTTAGGGTTTAGGGTTTTCATAGATTGGATCTTGTTCTTCTATAGGGCTTCTATTCTATTGCTTATGTTTGCTGCTGTGTCTCCCTCCCTTATTCCCTTACATCCTTGTCTCTATCATTTCCCCATTATAAAAGTATTCCTCTTCTTTCTTGTTCTTTTCCTGCATTGATTATTTCTCTTTATTCCTCTCCTGTATTGATATGGAAGGATAAGGGTTTTAGGGTTTGGGGCTTCAAACCAAGGGTTTAGGGTTTAGGGTTTAGGGTTTAGTGTTTAGGGTTTAGGGTTTTTGTGCAGGTTCTGGGACGTGTTGGGGTACTTTGGGCTGTCGAGGAAATCCGCCCGCATTGTTTTCTTAGGGTTGGATAATGCCGGCAAAACAACTCTTCTTCACATGTTGAAAGATGATAGAGTGGCTCAGCACGTGCCTACACTGCATCCCCGTAAGGGTTTAGGGTTTAGGGTTTAGGGTTTAGGGTTTAGGGTTTGGGGTTTCAACGGGTATTCTGTGGAAAAATGGAAAAAAAGGAAACTTTGTTCGAATTGCTGCTGCTATTCTTCTGTAGCAAGAGGAGAGTCTCTGCTGATGCATGTAACCAGGGAATTAGGGTTTAGGGTTTAGGGTTTAGGGTTTAGGGTTTAGGGTTTGGGCTTGCAGACTCTGAGGAGCTCATAGTTGGGAAGATTCGTTTTAAGACATTCGATCTCGGAGGCCACGAGACAGGTAAACCCTCATTTATTAAAACCCTAGCCCTAAAGTTCATCAAGATTTTTTTAGGGTTTAGGGTTTAGGGTTTAGGGTTTAGGGTTTGTGTGCAGCAAGAAGAATATGGAGGGACTACTTTGCAGCAGTTGATGCAATTGTTTTTATGGTCGATGCAACAGATAGAGGCCGCTTCCAGGAGGCCAAGGAGGAGCTCACCGTAAACCCTAAACCCTAAACCCTAGACCCTAATTAAACCCTTGAGCAAGCTATATAAGTTCTTACCTGTCTTGCTGCTTTCTTTCCGTACCTGAAGTTTGCATCCTTTAAAGTTTCTCCCCGTCAGCGGGTTTAGGGTTTAGGGTTTAGGGTTTAGGGCTTATGTTTCGGGGTCGAGGGTTTAGGGTTTAGGTGTTGAGGGTTTAGGGTTTACAGTTTCAATGTTTGTCGTCTACTATTGAATATTTAGGATTTGTGATTAAATATTTAAGATTTTTGCTTATCTTCTAGGGTTTAGGGTTTACAAATTAGGGTTTAGGGTTTAGGGTTTAGGGTTTTTTTTTTTTTTTTTTTTTTTTTTTTTTTTTTTTTTTTTTTTTTTTTTTTTTTTTTTT